GGTTGTTACCAAAAAAAGCTGGATTCTGATAAAATATTTGTGTCACTGGGCCTCGTCCAAGTTTGGCCTCCAATCGTTTTTTGAAGTATGAGAAACTGGCTTTCCCGTTTAAAAGAAATTGGATGTTGTCTGTGTCTCTAAACAAAAATCCAGAGGTGGGACAAATGTATGTCTCACCATTGAAATGTGCACTGATGACATATTGGGGTGCAAATGTCATTGTGTATGGTTGTTTGAAGGTTTGAAGGTTTGAAGGTTCGAAGGTTTGAAGTTTATGAGTTATTAGAAGGTTTGTATGTTTGATTGTTTGAAGGTTTGAAGGTTTGATTGTATGAAGGTTTGAAGGTTGGAAGGTTTGACAGATTAAGTGAATCCTTATTTTGATAAATGTAAGACTAAACAGGTCATACTGAATTTGAATTAAGTAAGGTTGTAACCTCCAAGGCTGCCACCTAGCCTGCGTCCACTCTGCATCTACACTATAACCTGTAAGTCTCCTCCCATCACCTCCAATAGTGTTACATGCATTCAGACATGGCTTCTCCAAGGCTGTCACCCAGCCTGCGCCTACTCTGCAACTCGTGCCACCTCTTATTCGCCAATGGGGATGGCGACACCTTTCATTTGTGTACTCTTTCGCCAAGTCCAATGGTGCCTCCCTTAATGTCCAATCGTGTTACATGCATGCAGAGATGCCTTCTCCAAGGCTGCCACCTAGCATGCGCCTACTCTGCACCTACACTGTAACCTGTAAGTCTCCTCTCATCACCTCCAATAGTGTTACATGCATTCAGGTATGGCTTCTCCAAGGATGTCACCTAGCCTGTGCCTACTCTGCAACCCGTGCCACCTCTTATTCGCCAATGGGGATGGCGACACCTTTCATTTTTGTACTCTTTCGCCAAGTCCAATGGCACCTCCCTTAATGTCCAATCGTGTTACATGCATGCAGAGATACCTTCTCCAAGGCTGCCACCTAGCCTGCGCCTACTCTACACCTACACTGTAACCTGTAAGTCTCCTCCAATCACCTCCAATAATGTTACATGCATTCAAGCATGGCTTCTCCAAGGTTGTCACCTAGCCTGGGTCTACTTTGTAACCCGTGCCGCCTCTTATTCGCCAATGGGGATGGCGATACCTTTCATTTTTGTACTCTTTCGCCAAGTTCAATGGCGCCTCCCTTAATGTCCAATCGTGTTACATGCATGCAGAGATGTCTTCTCCAAGGCTGCCACCTAGCCTGCGCCTACTCTACACATACACTGTAACCTGTAAGTCTCCTCTCATCACCTCCAATAGTGTTACATGCATTCATGCATGGCTTCTCCAAGGCTGTCACCTAGCCTGCGCCTACTCTGCAACTCATGCCACCTCTTATTCGCCAATGGGGATGGCGACACCTTTCATTTTTGTACTCTTTCGCCAAGTCCAATGGCGCCTCCCTTAATGTCCAATCGTGTTACATGCATGCAGAGATGCCTTCTCCAAGGCTGCCACCTAGCCTGTGCCTACTCTGCACCTACACTGTAACCTGTAAGTCTCCTCCCATCACCTCCAATAGTGTTACATGCATTCAGGCATGGCTTCTCCAAGGCTATCACCTAGCCTGGGCCTACTCTGCAACTCATGCCACCTCTTATTCGCCAATGGGGATGGCGACACCTTTCATTTTTGTACTCTTTCGCCAAGTCCAATGGCGCCTCCCTTAATGTCCAATCGTGTTACATGCATGCATAGATGCCTTCTCCAAGGCTGCCACTTAGCCTGCGCCTACTCTACAAGAGTGAAACTTATCATGCATGCATGCACCAGCTACCACCTAACTTACTCTATGAAATTTTTTTGCCTATAAATACAGAGCATAACATACTTCTCTCGCACCCACAATCCTCTCACTCTCTGCTACAAAGTCTTTCATAATCTCTTACAATTTCTAAGTCTTTCATAATCTCAGGCATTTTCAACAATGGCTCTTCTCACAATGGGAGATTCTCAGAGGTACAAGGGACAACATTGCAGCATTTGTAAGTTTCTTTTATAGTTATACATTTTTTATACTTCTGGTAATGCTTTGTTCATCTTACTTAATCTTACACCTTTACATTATTAACTCAGGATACCAAAAGATTCAGAATCCGGTCTCACAACTACCCGGCTCCCGATCCATTTATCGTACCATATCTGGAATACATAGGTTTCAGACATGTTATAAAGATCTCTAACTGCACAATTGATTCAAAGTTCATACTTGCAATGTTGGAAAGGTAGAGACCAGAGACACATACATTTCACCTACCAATAGGTGAATGTACCGTTACGCTAGAGGATGTGTACATGTTACTGGGTCTCCCTGTCGACGGTAAGGCCGTTAATGGGTCAGTTCAACAACCCAATTCTCTGTGTGAAGAATTGTTGGGCAGTGATATGGTTGAAGGTGGTGGTGCGAGAGGTTAGGGTATACTACTAATTGAGCTTAAAAATCATTATGCAACTTTGGAATTAAACGAAAATTCCTCCGAGCAAGACAGGGTAATAAAAGCTAGAACTTATCTAATGATACTATTTGGAACCTTTTTATTTCCCGAAAGTACGGGAAATAGTGTAAATTTTATGTATTTAAATTTACTTAGATTTCGAAAAAACTAGAAAGTATAGTTGGGGTTCTGCTGTTTTAGCCCACCTATACAGTTCCTTGTGCAAAAATGCAATCAAGGAAAAATGTACATTTTATGACTGCACTTTTTTACTTCAAGCCTGGGGTTGGTGGAGGATGGAGTCCCTAAACCCCGTCAATAACAACACATTCGTTTTCCCGTACGCAACAAAGTAAGTCATCAAGTTATATCATTTATTATTGTTCATCTCTTCACCAAATATATGTTAAAAATAAAATATTTTTCATTTCCTTTAGGTATTGCGTGAGGGGTATGGATTACGACAAGAATCCAAGATTCAATGTCGCGCTATACCGCAATCTATTGGATCACGTAGGCCCGGATGATGTACGTCGTACCTTTCAATTTTTCTACTTTTAAACTATTTATATATTACATTTTCATTAACCTGATTTAATTTTATGTGCAGTTTGTCTGGAGACCATATTTGAGTTTGGGCCATGAACCAAACCCTGAGGATGCAGCAATTTGGAGCGCCAAGACTGCAATCATATGGTTCAATGTTGTGGAGATGCACCACAGCGACCGTGTGAAGATGCAGTTCAGAATGCATCAAGAGATACCCAGTGATCCGACTTGTTTGTCCCCGTGGCATCTCAAAAGGGTCGACACCCAGTGGGGTCTTACCAACTGGGAAGACTTTGCTCCAGAATGGTGTAAGATGTGGAAGAGTCGTCACCGACATGTCTTGCAATTCCCAGTTTTCCTCAATCATGGTAATATGCAACACACAGATCAGTATTTATCTTGGTACAGGTCGATCAGTAACCCTGAAATGCACGTGTCTCATCCAAGGTATTTGATTGACCCACAAACACAATAGGCACAACCCTCGTTTCCCCAACAACAAACCCAACACACATCAACCTCCCACCAACCCCCCAGACGAAACAGAACCACAAACACCCAACCACAGTCGCCACCACAACACAATTACACCCAAATGCCCCACAACCAACCACAATCACCACCTCAGTACCAATACCCCCATATGCCTCACACCCAACCGCAATTCCAATCATAATACCAACACACCCACATACCCCACACACAATTTTAGTCTTCTGTATATCCCAATATGGGCCCCTCAACATCCAGCCTTAGCCCTGATCTGGGAATGTCGGAAGATTATGAACCAACCGACCCAACTTACTATCAACCACAGTATCACCAAACCACCCAACATCCTCAATACCAAACACCCCAAGATCCATTTCCTTTCTACCCCCCGTACTCAGATGATCAATGCTACAGACCCACCATGGAACCCCACCCACCGCCAACACGACCAAACTTTGAGGGTATGGGTAACCGACTGTACCAAAGCGGATCTTCTAGATATGGAGATCTGACTGATTTCATGGATCCAGAATGCATTGACTTCGCTGGGCCATCGACCCTGCTACAGTAGGAAACGCGACGACACCTAGCACGGGAAAGGCGAGGACGGGGATGTGGAACCGGTGGTCATTATCGGGTTCCAGGAGACCACTGATTAATCTGTTTTTTTTTAATCTGTATTTTTTTATGTAATACTTATGGGTGTAATCATTTTTTGTAAATAAAAAGTCAATTTTGTTGATCCTATATCGAATACGCAACGAACCAGATTGAAAAAAAATACGAAAATTGTCCTAGAAATGCACTAAGGCGCCATCTCACTTGGCTTAGGGCAAGCCCTAAGCTCCTAGGCGCCAAGTGAGATGGCGCCTCCCCTTAAATAATAGGTGTAGGCGCCAAGTGAGATGGCTCCTCGTTTGGAGAGTCCTCTGAAACATGATTATTTGCGTAATTTTTTTTGAAAGAATTTTTTTTTAATATCTGATTATTACAAAAAAAAAAAAAATTCAAAAAATACAACCTCAATTTTCATAATTTATTTAGATGAAATACTATATAATTTTGTATATTAATATAGTAAATATCTTCAATAAAAAAATAGTAAATACTTTCCTATCAAAAAATAATAAAAGCATTTGGATAGACTTATTTTGAAAGCTAAATTAGTAAATATCTTCAATAACAAAAATAGTAAATATTTTTTTAATCCAAATATTAATAAATATGTTTGAATTTACTAATTCTATAAGGTAAATTCAGAGTGACACGCAACACCAACGCGTCATTATCGCACCTTGATTGTTTGACTCGTGGAACGAAACTTCGGGGATGTTACCATCTTCCTTCCCTCAACCTTCACGTCTCCCATTTCCATCTTATTCATTTATATTTCATTTCAGAGATTAGTCTCACCTTTGTTCTTCATTTATTTGTATAATCCATTTTCATTAAGACAGTGTTTGGAGCGCAGGTAATAAAAAAATGCTTCCAGGAGTTGAATGTGCTAGAAAGAGACGGTTGCATCAAAGCAGAGTAAGAGAAGGAGGACGTGGTGATCCCACAACAACACGTTCATTCTGTTTATATACCAGAAACGTTCAATCTACTTCTTCTCCTTCAATACTCTCTTTATTGGTTGGTGTTCTTTATTATTTATATTTCATTTCCATTCCATCATTCATGTAGTATATTAATAGGGTTTGATTCATTGTTAACAGGAAAGAAGCATGTTAAAGCAGAAACAGTCATTGATTGATGAGAAACTGGGAGGATCAGCCAGAGAAGCCAAACGGAGACTAGATGAGAAGCTTACAGCAGGTATGAAGTGGGAAGAAAATCAACAACAGAAAAGAAAAAGTATTTTTCATGGTTTATTGCGGCAATTCAAATCTTAATTAGTTAGTGAATATGAATAACCCTAATTATTGCAGCAGTTTATTCAATATACTGATAATGGAATAGTTCCACTTCATTCATCTTATGACGAAAATTATATACGTTCATGTCATGATCTTGTGAGCTTAGACAAACACTGTTGTTATAAATACGAGGAAGCCAATAACTGAGTTTAGATTATTAAAAAGTGATGACTACTAATTGGAATTCTGAATTCCACCTATGTCAATTGGCATATACTCTTCTTAAATAATTCGGTAATGGAAGCACTATGTCAATAACACATAAGTGTTTTAAGCATATAAGCATATACCGTCCGAAGGCGTAAACATTTTACTTAGGCTGTGTTTTGCAAGACATGTTTTTGAGTATATAGTTTATAATTTATAAATTCATATGACAATTTTGATCCGCTAAATAATGACTTTTTTATTACAAATTTATAATTTATTTTGCTAATTTACTTATAATTTATTTTTCATATGTTATTTTGAATAGCGTTTTAATTTACAGTTTATTATTTTTTCTTCCTTTTTTATCTTTATTATTTTAACAAAAATTCATTTTTATTTTTTATAATTTATTTTAATTTAAAATAAAATAATTATGTATTAAATTCTTTTTATGTTATTTTACATTTATAAGTTAGTTGAATCGTTAATTTTACCAAACACTTTAATTAATTTATCAACTATCAATCTCAACTATCAGCTGTAAATTATAAGCTATCAGTCATAAACTATAAACTATAAATTAACTTATCAGTCAACCGGTCTACAATGAAGCAACATTACGAGCAAATTATAAAATTAAAAAAGGCATTGCAATGACAAATTTAAGATTAAGAGAAGAAAAAAACTAGCTTATCAGTCAACCGGTCTACAATGAAGCAACATTACGAGCAAATTATAAAATTAAAAAAGGCATTGCAATGACAAATTTAAGATTAAGAGAAGAAAAAAACACCAATTCATATAGCATTGTCTAACATTAGGTTTACGCATATTGCTATGGAGCAAGACATAAATAATGTATGTTGTAAGCATGAAATGCATCACGTAACATAGAGGATCCGAACATCACTTGTCTGAGTGATCGATTATTCCATGACACTCGCTTGAGGGATCCTCCCTTCCATACACTCGTTTGAGGGACTCGTCTGTCTAAGCCTCGTCTGAGGTCGTCTGTCCAAGCCTTGCCTGAGGCACTCGTCTGTCCAAGCCTCGCTTGAGGGATTCATTTGTCTAAGTTTTGGATGAGGGAATCTCCTTTCTCTGTCTCTCCTTAGAGACTCATTTTTTTAAATCCTTAGAGGATTCAAACATCACTCACATGAGGGACCTTCAATTCCATATCACTCGCTTTAGGGACCCGTCCTTCCACGTCACTCGCTTGAGGGACCTGCCCTTCCATATCACTCACTTGAGGGACACGTATGTCTAAGTCTCGCCTGAGGCACTCGTCTATTCAATTCTCGCCTGAGGGATTCACTTGTCTAAGTTTTGTCTAAGAGACTCGCCTTTTCGAGTCTCACTTGAGAGACTTGATTTTTTAAATTTTTCTTGAAAAAGAATTATTGTCTACCTTATTTAATGACTTCATCCTTTTTAGGCCTCGTACTTGAGGGACTTTGAACTGAAATAATTTTAGTTGGGCCATGAGAGAGACTATGCCATGTTGAATTTAGTCCCCAAAAAAGAGAAAAAAGACACAAGGTGGTTTCGGGCGACCTCACGTGGCAAGCATGTGGATGCCTAGTCCATCTTACTTTGCTTACAACATAGATTACCTGGACCAATATAGAATAATCGAACTGCAGACATATGAAGACGTATCATGCCACATCATAAGAGTGAAAACCGCAATTATCATAACTCTAGGGGAGAAAACTACTTCTCTTATGAAAGGGGGAAGGACTTAATCTTCCTATTCCTATGTTCCAGCCAAGAATTTGGGATTAGAACTAATTTTCCCCCAAAAAAACTGGTCCATGAGTCGGGGCTACAAATATCCACTCTTAAGCTTGACAGGGGGATTCATGGACTATTCACAAATTCAACAAAGTAAAGTCATATTCTTCTCTCTTACGAAAGCAAGGATTTCGATCATTGTATTTATCATAAATACAATATGCTATGTTTTTCATGCTACAAATTAAGGAATACTTTATGTGTCTAATAAAAAGTGTCTCATTTGTATTTTTTTGTGCTTCAAAATAATTGTCACTTTACAATACCAATACAATTTTTTTTACTATTATACCATTATTGATTAACTTTTACATTATTTAGTTATTTTAATAAGTACAATTAATAAGAGTATTCTAGTAAATGATTCAAATTTATTATTAAAATTAACACATCTAATTTTTTTTAAACTGCGTATAACTTAACAAGATATTTTTTATAAGACACACACGTACACGCACACACGCACACGCACATGCGTGTACGAGTACACGCACACACACGCACATGCTTACACATACGCACATGAACACACACACACAGACACACACGTACACACATATACACACACACACATTTAAAAAAATAGCTCATACCTATTATACTTTCTGAAAGTTCTAAAGATTTGACTAATTTTGGTAAAACTATTTGCTGAACAAGATGTTATAATTTGTGAAGAACAACATGTCGAACAAAGAAGTTATATCTTCAGAAGAAACATGTCGAATAAAGATATCCTAAGTAGAGTTAATTGACATCGTTATTGTGTTGAGTTGGGCTGTTGTATCAGTTTAAAATTTAACAGATGCAGAATATTCTGAGAATATTATGCTATCCTATGTGGCGCCCAGGTTGAAGGTTGAAGAGACTCAAGCTGATTTCAAGGAGGTTTATCATTTTCTATTTATGGAGGCAAATTAGGAAACAAATTATTGGAGCTCTATTTTTTTTGCAGAAGATTCTGTAGATTTTCAGTAACTGATATGTTGTTGTTTCGAAGCCCATAGACAGTTGAAGATTATAAAAGGAAAACTTAGACCTAGGGCTTTGTAACTAATCCTTGTATAACATATCGTAATATCTAAAGATAAGGGTTTAGGGTTTTGAGAGTCGTGTACTTTCTTGTGTTGTAAGTCACCTTTTGTATCCATTTGATGCATTGTGATATACATAATTGTTTATGTAGATTCAGAAGCCTTTAGTTAATAAACTGTGTCTTTTTCTTGGATGAAGCTTTGAAGCAAATCCAAGTGTGTTAGTTAGTCAAGAGTATTGGTTGAACTTTATTTGAGAGAGGTATCTTTCAAGTTGTTTGGTGCAGTCACCAAAGGTTGTGGTTGTTAGATATCATTGAAGTGATTTAGAGAGTGAGATGAGTTTATCTTATCTTGGATGGGTTTCTGAGATAAAGATTGCATTGGGTAGTATACAATAGTTTAATTATTCACTGTTCAATAATCTGTGAGTTTTGTGAATTTTGTATTTGTCAACGTGATCAAAATTCAATAAAAGTATAATCTTCATATTTTCATTTTAAATATTCTACGGGTAACTTTGAAAGACCTCTGATATTATATTTTTGGAAAATCAATCGGAATTTGTTTTTAGTCTATTAACCCTCGTCTAGACTATTTTCCTACTCCATATTCTCACCCAACAATTGGCATCAAGAGTTGGTCTTTTGATTGTGTCTAAATGAGTCAAAAAGTTTTGAGAATATGGCGGATGGTGACGACCCAAAAAGAGTGTATAATAGAGCGCTAGTTTTCCAAGGTGATAATTATACTTATAATAAAGTTAAAATGTATGTACACTTACTATGAGTTGATAAAACTCTATAGTATGTCGTCATCGAGGGACCATTTATCCCTACGGGCGATAAGGACGTTGTCAAACACCCAAAAGATTGGACAGCCGATAAAACCAATAAGACTTCATATGATTTAAAAGCGAGAAAAATATGTATCTCCGCTTTAAGCACGAAAGTATTCTATGAAATTTCATATCATACGAGTGCCAAAGGTATGCAAGACGCTCTCCAAAATCTCTTTGAAGGAACGAATGGCATCATGGATTCTAAGATCAACATTTTTATAGAGGAGTTCAAACTATTTTTTATAGAATTCAAATAATATATGAATTCCATGCCAACTAGATTCCTACACTTAATCAACAAATTAATCAACTTGGGTAAAATCTTTTCTAACAAAGATTATTCTAACAAATATTGAGATTTATGTGTAGGGAGTGGCAACCAAAGCTTATGGCTATAAAAGAATCTAATGATCTTAATATTTTGGATATTACAAAGTTATTTAGGAAGTTAGCCGAGTATGAAAATGAACTCAAACAACTCGTAGATAATGAAGTAAATTTGAAAAATAAGTCAAAGGAAGAAAGTGATAACTCTAATGAAGAAGCTCCTAAATAAGAGGAGATGGGTTTATTTGTCAAACACTATGATACGGTGGGAGAACTGACTTGAGGTTTTGCGTTTGTTTTCGCAAATATTTCGGTTGAGCAAGAGTCGCCACCGACTTTTTATTTTATCCTAAGGAAAGGTTAAAAAGCACAGCAAAAACCTTTGAGATGTTTTCTTGGGTTCGGGGAGTAGATTATAGAAAGGGAAGGTATTAGCACCCTTTCTATCCATGGTTATCCATGGGCTCTTAGTTACTTGCTTAGATCAACTTGCCTTGATTTTCAATTGTTTGAAATGGTGCTTTGTGTGTGGTTTTTGAAAATGTTTTGAAAAGAGGCCAATGTGGTGGCAACCTTTGTAATGATCCATGTTGGGATGTATACAAAGGTGTATGTATTTTGAAAAGTTTTCAATGTTTTTGAAAGTTGTTTTGAAAATGTATTGTGATGTGTGGTTTTGAAAAATAGGCAAGTGTTTTTGTTTTGCAAGTTGGTAAGTAACCAAGAGCTATCTACCCTAAATTTCTCAAAGATCTTTGCTATGTTTTAACCCTTTTAACAATTTTGTTCCACCATTGTATTTGGTGGACAATCTTGTGATAGGATGTGAACGGGACGGGCGCGGGTCATCGTTTAGACCATGATTGCAATGGTGCCAAGTATCTTTGGGCAATTTTTCCTTTAAGGGACTTGATCATTTTTTAGACAACTTTTAAAAGCGTCATCGAGGGACTATGATCATTTGAATTGTTTTGTTTTTGCCAAAGATACCTAACATGCAATATGGTCCATTTTGGAAGGCAACAAGTGGAGTACCCTAGGGGTGCAAGTGTGATTAGTGTTGTCCATTTTCATGCTTGTTTATCTTGAATTTAGGTCAAACTATTTTTGGTTGATTTTTGCATACAAAACCCTAAGTCTATCATGTTATAATTAGAAAGCTTTAAAGTGCGAAATTTAAAGGTCCTAAGCTATTACAACACAAATATGGGATGGGGGGTACAAAGGTCCAAATGGGGATATTTTAGCAAGAAATTTAAATCTAACTATTACATCCAAATTGAATTATACAAATCAATTAATTGCACAATAATTAAATAAATTGAGATAAAAATGCAAGATGCAAAAAAAATGATTTTTATATGTATGTAAAAGGTATTTTTTATGTGCCAAATAAACAAAAATAAAAAGGTTTAATTTTTGAATTTTTTAGGTTTAGGGTAAAACCCTAATTTTGCTAAATAAATTGTATTAATTATTTATTATATGCAATATTTATTAATTATGTATAAAAAAATAAATAAAAAGAAAGTATATTGTCAAAAAATGATTTTTAAGTTAAATATTAATAAAAAATAAAAAGGTATTATTTTTATGTTTTTATCCTAAATATTATAATAAATATATAAGTATTTATATTATTTATTAAATATATTAAATATGTACAAAAATAAAATATTTAATATTTACAAAAAGAAAGTATATTTTTTATAGAATGTTTTCAAAGGTAAAATAAAATAAAAATCAGGAATTAAATGTGTTTGTATTATTTTTTAATATTTTTAAATAAAAGATAATATGTATCTATTTACATATATAACTAGATGAAGCAAATAAATATCAAATAAAAATGCAAAAAATGGGAGAAAAATATTTTTAATATTTTTTCATGCTTTAATAAAAATATAGAAACAAAATCAAAAGGAAAAAATTAAAAATGGCAAATAAAACTCAAAATGGGCCAGGGGGGTGCATGTGAAATGCAGTGGTGCAAAAAGGAAAAACAATCTCAGGCCCATCCCAAGAGAGGTTGTCTTCAACCTCCAGTCAAACGTTTGAAAATGCGCGCGCTCTCTTGCTTCAACCACAACTCCTGATTCCTGGACTTTTAGCACAAACTTATAACATGAAAAATGTCAAGCATCAAGCCACGATTCCATACATACCAAGAACTTGATCTAACTCTCAGAAATGAGAGAGAATTTCTCCATCCCTAATTCTTAACCTAAGTTTTTTCTAATGTTCAGGTTCCAAATTCTCTCAGCACATGCAATATAAATGGAAAGTAAATATATGTGTAGCTTCAGGGCCATGAGTAGAGCATTTTTCATTCATAAACCTAAAACTAACTCTTCCTAGATTGAGAGATAGAAGTCCATGAACTTACCTGTTCAGCTTGGGTCGTGTCTGACAATGGAGGCACTCTCAAGGCAATGTGAGGACTTGTACAACTTGCTTGAAGTTTAGGGATGCTTCTCCCACCTTTAGCTTGCTTTGAAACCAAATGAATCAAGCTATGGAAGTCAACCTGCAAAACAGAAAAAGTGAAAATGGTGAAGTTGGTTAGAGGTGTTACAGGTCGTGTCCAATGCTTGGGATAGTTTGTATAGGTGGTATGGAATGTGTATGAACTGGTTTTGGCCAAGGCGCACGAATGGATTGAGTTATGGAAGTCCAACTGCAGAGGTGACTCTGTTTTTTGTAGTAGGAGGGTGTTTTGATGAATGATGAGGTTTGGAAGGTAATTAGCTTGTGCCTTAGCTTAGGTTTGATCTTTGGAATGTGTTTAACAAGTTTTCTTTGGCTTGTGGTTGCAGCAATGTGAGTTGTGTTACAAAATGCAAGGTTTCTTCTAACTTAAGCAAAAATTGTCAACTTGGTTTCTAGACTTGTGCAGGCCCCCTAATCATGCTGCAACCATCCCTCTTGATCAGTGTGATATGTTCCTGAACTTGTGCCAAAAGGATTTGCATTGTACTACTTGGATTGCAAATTTGACATAAAGCCATACTTTTCAAAAATGGATAAAGTGCTTTTTCTAATTAAGGACTAATCCTTCATGTAATGACCAAACTCATAGAATAACATCTTGGCACAATGGATTAGCATATAATTTTGGAGTGTAAATGATATTAGAGGCCTGTAATGTAGCTTGCATATGCTGAGTTTGAAAATGCACAAGCTATGAACATGGAAATGGCTCATGAACAAAGTGACTTTTGCCTATATTGCCAAATTCGATTCTCCCTAACCACAAGGTTGTTTGATGAGTTCTTGGATATTTTGGAAAGCTTGGAATGTGTACTACAATCCATCTTTGTAATGCAAGTTGAAATTCCAAGTGGAAGCATGTGAAAAGTGGTCATGAAGTTAGGCAAAAATCCTGCCTAGAATAGGTCAAAATTTTTCTAAGTTAAGAATGTTTTGCACCCTTGTTCCAAAACTCATAACTTGAGCTACAAGCTTCTTTTGAGGAAACTTTGTGAATCAAAGTTGTATATTTTTCAATGGACTATAACTTTCATGTTTTGAGTTTTCCTTGAATCCAAATGTATCTTGATGAAAAAATGGGACAAAGTTAGGAAAAAATTTGGGATTTTCATAACTTAGAAAAATTCTAAGTTATGAAAATTCTTCATTTCAAACCCTAATTTATGATTTTTGATTTCTTGATGAACAAGTTTCATGATTTGACATGTTTTGATGAAAAATGAATCTTGACACTTGATTTTGACCAAAAAGTCAAAGTTTGACTTTTCAGTATACAGTCAAATTTGGCTCAGTTGACTGAAAAATTCATCTGTCAATCTTGTGCATTTGGGATCTTTTGAAATTGTTGAACATGTCAAGACAATTCCATGGGGTCCTTGAGTCCATATGTGAGCTTGGTTGGTCATTGGCTAGGTCAAACAGTCAAAAATTGCCCTTGTACAGTCAAAACCCTAAAAATGACCATTTTGCCCTTTTGGTG